TTTTGACACTATGGTTGCTCTACACCATGCATTTTGGTTGAAGATGGCTTTTTTTTTTTTTTTTTTTTTTAATATTTGGGTCTGTTAAGTAGGTTTATGGTTTAGAGGTTTTTGTTCTTATATAGGTAGGTTTTGAAGGAATGATCCCTAGCTGCTTTTGCCATAGTCTAATTTTCATTCTATGGTGGTAGCAACTGGGTGATTTTTGTTTTGGGGTTTGGGATTGGGTATTGTTTAGAGGGATGTATCCTCCTTGGTTACGAACCAAACCATGCACAAACAAAAAATTTATAATAATCTTGCATGGGTGATTAAGGATAGTTCAAACCCCAAAAGACAATCAATTAGATGTTTAAATTACAAGATTATTGTAGAGAATGATATGATTGGTGGTTGGCATTTGAAGGGATAAGATGAAAATAGCAAAGATACACAGAAGAGGAAATTGAGAGATTACAAATATGACAGTTGAAATGTTTGCATAGAAGAAGACAAAGGGTGAGGTGAGAGATGGACACACACAGATGGACATGAGTGATGACCCATCACTACTGATTGTCCTATATATGATGCAAAGGACTCCCAGATTGGGGACACACTAATAGACCTTCTTGAGGTTTCTTTAGCTTTACCATTCTATGTCAATAACTCAATTTTTTTTTTAATGTTTTTTAATTTCCCAACAGTGGCTTCAAGACCCATCGTTCAATACCAACACAGAGGTATTTTACATTGTCTCTTGAATTTCCCTTTCTCTGCTCTTGATCGCTGTTGTTGGTTGATTATGTTGTTTGGATTTGTTGTTTGAATTCTGAATCCTGAAGGATTTGTTGTTTGGATTTGTTAGTTGATAATATTTTGTATTACTTTTTAGATTTCATGTACAGCACATAGTGCTTCCCTTTTGCAGGCTTTTTTTAGTATTGTTGCACTTCTATATAGAGTGGTAAAGAGTGAGTGACACAGAAATTGATCCTAGCAGTGACATATGCTAGTGAATATGGGTCTGTTTGCCTCTATAGGAATCTGATTGCTGCTTGCTACTCTGCTGTTGCTGCTGCTGAAATAGCAGGCTAGGGCAGTGGCTGTTTGTTCCTTCTGTGGGATGTTCTGTTAGCTGTTTATATGTTATGTGGTGTGAAACGTAAACATGGGCTGGTTTGGAATTTTACCTTATGGAGAGTTTTAAAAAAAAATGAGAAAGAAAGTGTGGGCTGGTAGAGTTATAATAAGGGGAACGTAGAGAGTTAGACTTGAGAAAAAAGTAGTATATAGTGAGTGAGTAAGATAGGCTGAGGTAACATGTGAGAATATGGTTTTGTTTTCTGCTGAAGCTAATTTTGATGCTTTGTGTTGGCTGTTGCAATAGTGTAACCTTATGTTGATGATATTTACGAGTTCTATTTGTGTTGCTATGCCTGTACATCCCTTAAAAGTGGGCTGCTGCAGTCCTCAATAGGGCTGTGTTGGTATTGGTAAAATTTTGGTTTGTGTGCACTTCCATGTTCGAAATCCCATAGTTCCTCAAGTTGATATGGCTGCTTTCAAACCATTCATACTAGCTGAATAGGTGCTTCAACCACATAGGAGGCTTAGGAAGATGGTTTGGGTTTAGAAGATTTTTGAAGACTATGTGAGATCGAAGACACATAGCTTTCTTTTGACACTGTGGCTGCTCTACACCATGCATTTTGGTTGAAGATGGCTGCTCTAAGTAGGTTTATGGTTTAGAGGTTTTTGTTCTTATAAAGGTAGGTTTTGAAGGAATGATCCCTAGCTGCTTTTGCCATAGTCTAATTTTCATTCTATGGTGATAGCAGCTGGTGATAGCTGCTTTAAGATTTCATGTACAGCACACAGTGCTTCCCTTTTGCAATAGTCAGCCTTCTATTTGACATGTAACTTTATAGAGATATGTCCAATTTTGGAGTTAATAATAATGTATTTTGGAGTTGAGCCTATCTCAATCTCAATTAAACAGTGGACGTTTTATTTCTAGGCTTTTTAGTCTGTAGAAAATTTGCCAGAAATTTACCAACTAGGTTTTTGTTTTCAGGCTTCTTTTTTTCTCCTTCCTTGAAAGTTCTAACATTGAGTTTGGATGTGCTTTGATTGTTGGAAAACTTTGTTCTTTACTTGCTCGCAAAACTTTTTGCTTTATTGTTGACTGTAAATGAAAGAACAGAATAACAACTTAAAGATTGCATAAACACGTAATTAAACTAAAATAAAACTATTTGGGCTATGTTCTTATAAAGTGTAATTTCAAATCCCTTCATTTGATTGGAAACTTCCACAGCTTTTGTGAACTTAGATAGATATTTTTGAGTTTGTTTTAGAATAATGCTTGGGACTCCCTTTTGGGGGTCACCCCCTCACCCCCCTTTGCCACGTGGCGGGTGGTGATTGGAGGAGCAGGAAAAAAAAGAAAAAGAAAAAGAAAATGTAACCAATGAGAGAGAGAGGGGGTCAAAGGGGGTGGGAGGAAAAGGGGGGATGAATCATTGTTGTTTGTTTTATGGTGGGTCACCAAAGCTCAACAATGGTTGTTTACCTATGCCATTTTCTTGGTATAGAAATAGTGATTTTCAGATTGAAGGCATAATTTCATCTCTATAATTGACCCAATGCTCAACAATAGTTGTTTGCCTATGCCATTTTCTTGGTATAGAAACAGAGATTTTCAGGTTGAAAGCATAATTTCATCTTTATAATTGATAATTTATTTTTAAGACAGGAAGGGTTGGGATTACAATTATATTAATAATTTATTAAATATAATTGATAATTAATAATTTATTAAATAGTGTTGGGATTACAATTAAATTCTAATCTCAACATTATTTACACCGTGCCTTCAGGCACGAGCATACGCTAGTATATATATATATATATATATATCACACAACTCTTTTGATGAGAAACACTTTTATTTTATTGATACAAATTTAAAAATATTGTGTATGTGTAATTTTGATTGGTTCATCTAGTATGTAGTCTGTTTTTTATAACAGTAAAATGTTATTATGAACTAAAATAATATGTTACCGTGAGACACAATAACATATTACTATTTACGTCAATTTCGACGGTGTTTTTTATTTTTTAATAATTTTATAGTTAACATGCATCTTATTTAATATATCTTGATGAAAGGATTTTAAAAATATAAATTTTATTAAAAATCGACATCTAAAATTTAAAATATTAAATTTTTTACTAAGTATATTTTGATAATAATAGTATGTGTTGAACTTTTTAAGAATTTTTTTTCATATTTACCCTTAGGCCATGTTTGTTTGGGCGGACTGGATTAGCATTCCCATGACTAATAGTCCTAGGACTACGAATTCGTTGGATTGTGTATCCTATCTTATATTAAAAATCGACATCTAAAATTTAAAATATTAAATTTTTTACTAAGTATATTTTGATAATAATAGTATGTGTTGAACTTTTTAAGAATTTTTTTTTATATTTACCCTTAATGTATTAAACTTTTATTATAATGAGATTTTTACCAAATTTCCCCAATTTTTTTATTAGTGTGGGGCAATAGCTGAGACTGGACTTATGCAGCCTCTGTTAGCACTTCATAGTTGGTCTTAAGAAATTGGTTCGAATAATGGGCTTATTTAATGCCTTTTGGTGTAAATAGAATCCCACAAGTTTTCCATTTGTATATTTTGGGCCCAACAAATATGGGCCTTATTTGGTTTGTCTCTTGAGAAATAATTTTTTTTTAAAAAAATTCAAAAATTTGTTTGGTTGAAAATTTTTGAAAAAAAAAAATCCAAAATTATTTTTTTCTCTGTCCTTTCTCACTCTCTAACATTCTGCACATCAATTAATCACTTTTTCTCACAATCATTTATTAAACTACAATAATAAAATAAAATTTAAATCATCTCAAACTCTAAGATTCAAAAATTATTTTCAAAACATATAACCGAATAAATTTTCAAATTTTGTACAAAAATTATTTCACAAATACAAACCAAACATGGTCATTATCTCTATTATTTTTTATTTTTTTTCACTACCACACACAAAAAAAAAATAAAAATAAATTAACAGACCTGAAATTACCAACCAAAAAAATCGAAACCTGTTTTTAAATTTGTTTGATGAATAAACTATTTTTAATTAAGATAAATCTTGAAATACTTGCAACAATCATTACGCTACAAGATATAGTGGTATTCAAAACCATTGATTCTAGTGTTGAACTGTTAGGCTATCTTGGTTGGATTATTTCTTCAAAACTTTGGGTGGATACTCCAAAACTATGTTCATCAAACTGAATTAAAACTTATAATATCATAAAACATTGCATCAATAATTTCTTTGTTTTCTCTGGAGCTTCTAAATTGAGTGACATATCACGTAATCAAATTTTTTTTTTCTCTACAATATACTTTTTGTATTATATTGTACAAAAAATATTTTTTTTGTACAATTAGGCATCATCTTAGTGGGCGTGACACAAAGCATGTTCAAAGGTTATGCGTGACTAATCTTTTGTCTTCTAACCTTTTCTCATTAACAAAAAAGAAAAAAACTTTTAAGTACATATGCTCTCATATATAGGGTTATTTTGGAAAGTGGATTATAATTCACTTCCTAAATTATAACTCGCTTTATTCTCTCACAAAAAGTAGTTTTTAATCAATTTTTAACTAAAAAATAACTTTTAATCATCTTTTCAAAATAGTCCATATCATATAATTGTCGAGCCAAAATCTAAGATGGTCTATGTGGAAGGGGAGAAATGAAACATTCAGAGGTTGTTTGAGATGTTCTAAATAAGTGCACTTTTTGACTTTTTTATAAAATATGAGTTGTGTTTGAGTGATGTGATAAAGAGGTGATGTGACTTAAATAAAATGATGTGACTTAAATAGGATAGTTACTTTTTGACTTTTTGAATTTTTGAATTTTTTATGAGATGCCAAACTTAGCCTCAATTATTGTGTAATTTTCGTAATCAGTTGGGCCAATTCATCACTGAGCGACATGGCCCATGGAATCACGCTTTTTATAATTGAAATGGACTTTGATCTGGCAAGGCCTTGCCTTCTTTTCTTGTCTATAAAGTTACAGAAGAAGAGTCCGAGTTTCTGGGTTCTGATTCTCAAAGAGCTAAGAAGAAGAAGAAGAAGAAGAAGAAGAGAGAAGAGAGAGAAAGCAATGGAAGCTGCGAGGAGAGAGAAAGCAATTGAGCACGAAATCGGAGGTCTACAAAATGACACTCTTCGTTTTGGACTTCACAGCGTCAAGAGCGAGATCGTTGGATCTCATCCCCTTCAATCTGCCTATCAATCTGTATCTCTCTCTCTCTCTCTATATATATATATATATAAATATGTAGATATGTGTATATTGGTCTAATTTATGTATGTATGGTGAATCAGACAAAGGAGGTGCAGGAACAGATGAAGAGGAGAATCCTTGTGAACACGTACGGATCGGCTTTTCCTTTGAAGATGGACTTGGATCAACAAATGCTTTCTAGGTATCAAACTAATTTTCTCCGTTATTTAACCTCTCGCTTTTGCTCCTCCGGTGTCTAATTGATTCACTTTGATTTTTTCCTGTTAAAATATGTGCTCAAATTAGGGTTTTCTCTTTGTGAATTTCATTGCCTAACAATTGATGTTTTTAATAGATTAGTTTATGAAAGTGTAGAAGATGAAAATGATATTAAAATAGCGAACCAGGTTAGTGAGAGTTGAAGATCAAATTTTGTATTGCTCTTTTTGTTGGTTTTGGGGATGTTACATATTTGGTGCCATTTCATTTGTCTATTAAGGGTTTTGTTACACATGTAAGTGGAATGAAGGGAAAAAGGTGTTTGCTTATGTGGTTATTCATTTTGATTAAGCATGTATATATATGACCTTCAAAACTGACAAGTGTTTTTGAGTGTCTTGACTGATACTGATTGAAGTTAAAGAGCTAGTTCAAGTAATGGGGATTGCTAGCATAACTGAATTCTGGGGCCTGGGTTTAGGCTTATTGAGTTTAATATGAAGAGAGGTGCCTGCTATCTTAAAAATTTGAAAGGAATATTGAATTGGAAGCAGAAGCTTCTAGTAAGTAGCTGTAAGTCTGCATTATTTGGTCTTTCAATGTTCGACTGTTATGGCCTTTTCAGTTATAATTTTTATTTGCCATGTGTTGAAGGCAGTGTATTTACTTGTGTGACATATTTTGCAAATTCTGTACTTTCTTTGTTTGAAAGTGCTGAAAAGTTATCAATATTTTAACTCATATTTATCCTATCGTTTATTACCACGATACCATCCAATGTGGGATTCGAATTCTGTTAGTCTAATTCCAGTCTTGTCCAAAACACTAGATTGAGATATATCATATCCTCTAGGATTCCACTCCCAATCCCATTCTAATAAACTTTATCCTACCTGGGTTTTAAATCAAATTAGAGTTGTGTATAGGCTTCTTAATATCATCAGTGAATATGTGGAATAAGAAGTTTGTTGGTTGGGAATCGGAACAATGTTATTAATATGCTTGTGCCTTTTGGATGAGGATATTAAGGCAATATTTGGCATGAAAGCTTTAAAGGCTGAATAGGATAATAGTATATCAGGAAGGGATTTGGCAATGATATTTAGGAGGATATGTTGTATGCCAATCTAGTATTTTTTGACATGACCAAAATAAGACACTTGTACATGCTATGGAATCCCAATACCATTCTTGGATGATACCAGATAGGCCAGGTTAAATGTTAATCAAATTTTTTTATCAAATAAAAATTAAACTTTCAAATCAACGAAATAGGGGCATTGGCAATAGTTGATTTCTGTGATTTTAATGAACAACGTATGGTAGTTTAATTGCCAATAGCTCAAATCAAAATTCATTTAATAGCCGCTTTAGTGTCACATAACAATAGATTTGTGAAATTTCTCTCTGAAAATCATGATTATTACCATTAAATTTCACTTGAAGCTAAACTCAAATCGCTATAATTTCCTGATCTAAAACCTAAAAAATTGTTAGATCTGAATAAGAAAAATTAAGAAGAAGAAGAGAAGGGTGATAATGAGGAGATGAAGAGAAAAAGATTGGTTGTCGTCTCCAACGGTGATGGCTTAATCTTTCTCCTTCAAGCCAAAAAATGAAGTGGTAGTCAACCTTAGCCATGTCTCTAACAGTGATGGCTTCCTGGTGACGTTTGAAGGTGGTAGGTGTAGCTATATGGTATATGTTCACTGCAAGGCTTCATGCTAGTTATGTTTGAATCTAATATAGTATTCTATATAATTATGGATAAGATAGTATTCCATATAATTAGGGCCCTTTCTATTCTTGTTTCTTTGTTTTTTTTTTTTGTGAAAAACAATATCAGAAAATTGTAGAACAAGTGAGATCAAGAATTATGCAAATGCAGTGTCGTTTCGGTTGTTTTCAGATTTCTTTGGACGGTGTTTTCTCAATATGCAGAAAACTATTTTAAATAGTTTCCTGAGAAGAGCCCATTTTTAGGAGGATTAATTCAATTGTAATATTTACAAATGCTATGCAAAACATGTTCTTTGCATTGTTTTCATTTTTTTCTCGACTTTGAGGAAATTTGTTGGAGAACACACCAAGCGGCCGTTACAGTCATAGTGTATTGTGTGAGAATATTATGTAATTATGGTATTATGTATCAATTAGGTAAGTTAATTATTGTGAATGTTCGATTGATTGTATAGGGTTATTTCCTATTATAGATTAGGATTACTATAAATATTGGTCGTAATCTTTGTATTACCCAAGTTGAATATATAGAAAACTATTCAGAAATCTTATATGGTATCAGAGCCATGTCCGAAACCCTAGGTCTGGCCAGCATTCATGCCTGTTGTTCGAAGTTGTCTCTGGGTGCCTGGTCTGAAGTCGCAACTCAGGAGTCGTTCGCCTCTCTCTCTCTGTGGTTTAGATACTCGAACACACACATCGAGTTCGTGGGTCTCGATCTCTCTCTTGGGTCATGGTCCCTCTGGCTCGTCATCTTTGTCGTCTGTTGCTCTATTTGTCTTTCTCTCCATCTCTGTCTCTCTGTGTCCGTGTTTTTGGCTCTATAGTACTGTTCTTTGGTTAAAAATAGTTATTTACAATTTGGCCCTCTTGGTATTTAGTATTATCCTTCAACCTGTTAATCTTTGGTTTATTGCAATGACAGACACCAAAATCCAAGCCATCAGATGTAAACTCACAGGTACCAATTATGCTTATTGGGCTAGTGTTATGAAGAATTTCCCTCTTGGTCAGAAAAAATGGGGCTATGTTTCTGGTTCCGTTCCTCGTCCATTGGACTTGAAACAAGAAGGATATCTGACTTTCTGTGACACTTGGGATTGTGATAATGCCTAAGTTCTGATTTGGTTTCATAATTCTGTGGATGACCGTATTAGAACAATATTTTCCAAATAAAGTACTGCTAAGGAGGTGTGTGACTATTTATTGGGTGTGTATCAACAGTCCAACTTTGCCAAGCGGTATGAGTTGGAAACAGCTAATTAGAGTGCTCATTAGAGGGATCAATCTATTCAGAACTTCTATATTGAGATGACAGGTTTCTGGGATCAGTTGGCTCTCATGGAACCATCTAGCTTCAAGGCACTAGACGCTTATGTTGAGTTTCGGCTTCAAGGTCGTTTAGTGCAGTTCTTAACAGCTCTCTCCCCTCAGTATGAGACTATCTGTGGTGGCATCCTTCATCAGTCTCCTCTTCCCTCTATGGATGCTATTGTTTGTGAGCTCCTTTCCGAGGAAACTCGCCTTAAGATGGCTAGTCAGACTCTGTCTCCATCTGTTTTCTTAGCTCCTACTCAGCCTCCATTGTTGTCAGCCCCACCACCTCATCAGCTTCAGGGCCATGCAAAGCCGAAAAAAGGGCCACTAGCTTGTGATGAGTGTGCTTTTTGTCATTAGAAGGGCCATTGGAAGTACAACTGTCCCAAGTAGGGACGTCAGTCTGCTCAATCTTTTCAGCCGCCTCAGACACAGTTTTGACCTCCTACTGCTTATACTACATCTGCTCCGGTTTCTAATCTTGACTTGGCTTCCTTGCGTGCTCACATGGCTCAGCTTCAGCATCTCCTGTTTACCTCCCAGCCATCCTCATCTGCCTTTGCTCTCACCTCTCTTCATTCAGGTTTGTTTGGGCCCTCTTCAGGTATCTGCTTTTCTGTCTGGCTTTTTGACTTTGGTGCCTCTTATCATATGAATCCTCACATTTTCTTACTTCAAAACTATATCCCCCTTCCTCTCTTATTACTGTTAATACTGCTAATGGGTCTGGTATGCCTGTTCTATCTGTTGGGTCTGTCTTACACTCTGCTATGTCTGTTGTTACTATTCTCTTTGTTCTTTATGTTCCTCAGCTATCTATCAGTTTATTATCTATCAGTGGGTGTCCAAGAAGCAGATTGGGACCGGCCGTAGAGTTAGAGATCGCTATGTGGTAGAAAGCTTACATCTCTCCCTATCCACCTCTCCAGTTGCTTTTTTCTCATTTCATCAGTTAGATTCTCAGTCGAGTCAGTTTTATTTATGGCATTCTCGCTTGGATCATTTGTCTGTTGACCACTTACAGTCTTTAGTTCAGTTAAGATTATTGGGTAAAGTTTCTCCTAGTCAAATTGATGAATGTCGGGGGTGTAAACTTGCCAAAATATCAGCTTTACCATTTAATAAAAGTACTTCAGTTTTTGTTCCTCCATTTTCTCGTGCATGCTGATGTCTGGGGACCCTCTCCTGTTCTCATTAAAGGGGTTCCACATACTATGTGTCTTTTGTTGATGATTGCATCTGTTATACTTGGGTTTATCTTATGACTTATAAATCTGACTTCTACCAAATATATTGTACATTTTAGTCTATGATCACTATACAATTTGGGGCTACCATTAAATTGTTACGATTTGACTTGGGTGGGGAATATTTTAAAACATAGTTCTGAGTATTTGGCCAATTTGGGTACCATTCACCAAACTTCTTGTATTGATACACGTGCTCAAAATGGTTGAGCCAAGAGTAAACACCGTCATCTTCTTGAGACAACGAGGTTTCTTCGTCTCTCTGCCTTAGTTCCAGTTTCGTTTTAGGGAGATGCAGTTCTTACTGCTGCTTTTCTTCTTAACCGTATGTCTACTCCCCTTCTTTGTGGTCGGTCTCCTTATGAGGCTTTGTTTTCTCAACTTCCCAATTACTCCCTTCTTCGTGTGTTGGGTTTACTTGTTTTGTCCTTCTTCCTATAAAGATTAGACCAAATTTAGTACCCGGTCTGTCCTATATGTTTTTTTGGGTTATAGTTTTACTTAGAAAGGCTATCGGTGTTATGACACTATTTCTCGTTGTCTTTATGTCTCCCGTCATGTTTCTTTTCTTAAACGTCTGCCTTGCTTTCAACTTTGTCCTACCACTGCTCCAGTTTCCAAAGAGGATTTGGTTCACATTGATCCATTTCCTTCTGAGGTCCCTCCTGATGAGTACATCACTACTGTTCCCCATGCCCTTACTCCCTTTTCTTCTCCGTCTCCCCAACCTGCTCTTTCTCCTCCTTCTCTTCCTTCGTTGTTTGTTTATTCGCGTCACCCGACCCTTCCTCCACCAATTGACTCTGCTCCTACTGCTAATCCTCCTGCTTCTGACGACTCTGATCCTGCTGCACACCGCTATCCTACTAGAGCGCATCATTCTCCAAACAAGTTAGGTTGGTCTAATATATGTTTTTTTACTTCCTATCATACTTTTTTTGTCTATTATTCATTCTTTTTCAAAACCTCAGTCTTACAAGGAGGTCTATCAGGATTCCCATTAGATTCAAGTTATGGAGGATGAGCTGTCTACTTTACAGACAACTAGTACTTGGGAGTTGGTTCATTTGCCTGCTGGTAAGAATCTGGTTGGTTGCAAATGGGTCTACAAAGTCAAAATTCATTATGATGGTTCTCTTGAGCACTACAAAGCTCGTCTGGTTGTCAAAGGTTTCTCATAAGAGTATGATATTGATTATGAGGAGACCTTTGCTCTTGTTGCCAAGATGACTACTGTTCGTACTTTGATCTCTGTCGCTGTTGTTCGTTCTTAGCCTCTTTATCAGATGGATGTTAAGAATGTTTTTCTTAATGGCCATCTCACCAAGAAGGTTTATATGCGTCTTCTTCCTGGCCTTTACCATTCCTCTGGACAGGTTTGTTGCCTTCGGCGTGCTCTATATGGTCTGAAGCAGTCTCCTCGTGCTTGGTATGATCGCTTTTAGATTGTTGTTACTGCACTTGGGTTTCATCATTGTGTTCAGGACTCTGCTTTATTTCTTTTCTACACCTTTGCTGGATTTGTTGCCTTATTACTGTATGTGGATGATATGATTATCATTAACTCTGACTCTTCTGTTATCTCCGAGGTCAAGCAGCATCTTTTCCGCACTTTTGAAATGAAGGATTTGGGCCCTTTGTGGTATTTTCTTAATATTGAGGTCATTTCTTCTCCTAAGAGCTACTTTCTCTCTCAGGCCAAGTCAGTGTTGTCAAAAGCGCGCCTAGGCGCAAGGCGAAGCTCAACTTGTGCACCTGAACTGCTCCCAAGCGAGGTGCGTTGAAGAAGTCGCACGCCTTAGGCGCAACTGGAAGCAGGCGAGAGAGGCGCAAGGCTTGCGCCTGGCGCGACTGATGTTTGCGTCCTAACCTTTGATCTAACGACTGTGGTGTGTATTCGGAATGACTCTAACCACAGAGGATTACAACTTATATACACTACAAACCCCATACGACTGAAACGAAGCCCTAAATCTGTGTCGTCTCTTCGGCTCTCCATCTCTCGACTTCGACTTGGACTGGGTTCCTTCTTCGACTTCAACTTCCAAGTGCGCTACACTCTCTCTCTCTCTCCTTCTGCCTTCTTCGACTTCGGTCGTCTCTCTCTCGCCCTCCTTCGACTTCGATCGTCACTGTGTTGTCTTCATTTTATTTTTATTTTTCTCCTTCTTCTTCTCTCCTCCTCCTTTTCTCTTCTTCGACTTGGATTGTGTCGTCTCCTCCTTCGACTTGCTCTGCCTTTTTTTTTTTTTTTTTTTTCAATTATTTATGCCTTTTTTGAGTCTCTGTTAAAACAAAAAAAATAAATACAAAATATTTATGCCTTTGTCAATTAAATATTTTAACAAAATAAATATTTTTTTAAATAAATACAAAATAAATATTTTCCATTAATTTTCCATTGTATTAATTAATTAATTTTCCATTACATTACATTAATTAATTTTAATTTTTCATTACATTACACAATTAATTAATTAATTGTATTAGTCTTCATTATATTAATTAATTAATTGTATTAGCCTTCATTGTAATTATACATCTGCTCTGATCAATCTTAATTATATTAATTAATTTTCCATTAATTAAATACAAAATTAATTAATTAAATATTTTCCATTATAAATACAAAATAAATATTTTTCATTAATTTTCCATTGTATTAATTAATTAATTTTCCATTACGTTACATTAATTAATTTTAATTTTCCATTACATTACACAATTAATTAATTAATTGTATTAGTCTTCATTGTATTAATTAATTAATTGTATTAGTCTTCATTGTAATTACACATCTGCTCTGATCAGTCTTCATTATATTAATTAATTTTCCACTATATTACACAATTAATTAATACACTATGCATTACACAATTGCATTACATTGTATTAATTAATTTTTCATTACATTACACAATTAATCACACTTACATTACACTGAAATTATTTTTCATTTATTAAATTTGTTGTGTAGAAAATGACATCATCGAAAAGTAATAGAAAAGACCCGATGTGGCAATATGCCCATTTGGTAGAGGATAATAATTTAAATAAGTTCGAGTGTAATTTTTGTGATAAAGTATTAAATGGAGGTGTTTATCGGGTGAAACAACACCTTGCGGGAGGTTATAAGAATGTCACTGCCTGCCCGAAGTGTCCTTCTCATGTAAGAGAAGAGATTAGAGAGTTCATGTCAAAAAAAAAGACACAAAAAGAAGAAATGAACATGTTGCCCGATTTCGATGACATGCACATGGAAGATGAAGATGATGATGATGAAGATGATGATGTCATTGAGATCAATGTCAATCAACACCGCAAGTTGACAAGTAGTAGTCAAGGTTCAACCAAATCCAAATCCAAAATGCCAAAGAGAAAAGGGCCTATGGATGTTTACTTCACACCCAATCCTGAATCAGTGGTGAAAAATCGAAGAGACCAAGCAAAAAAGAAACAAACCAAAATTGATGCAAATGACCCTTACAAAAAAGAAATGAGAGCTCGGGCACTGCAAAGATTTGCAAGGTGGATGTATGATGCTGGTATCCCTTTTAATGCAGTAAATTATGAGAGTTTTAGACCAATGATTGAAGCCATTGGCCAATATGGTCCTGGTATGAAGCCACCGACTTACCATGAAGTGCGGGTTACCCAACTCAAAAAAGAAGTGAAACATACTGAAGATTTGATGAAGTATCATAAAGAGGATTGTGCAAAATACGGGTGTTCCATAATGGCTGATGGTTGGACTGATAAGAGAGGAAAGACATTGATTAACTTTTTAGTTAATTGTCCAAGAGGAATCATGTTTGTTGAGTCGGTTGATGCTTCTAGCTATTCAAAGGATGGGCAAAAGCTATTTGAATTACTAGACAAGTTTGTGGAGAAAGTTGGAAAAGGGAATGTGGTGCAAGTTATCACTGATAGTGCTGCAGCTAATGTGTTGGCGGGTAAGAATATTTCCTCATTCCTTACATCAAAATTGTTTACTCATAGTTTGTTTTGTATTTAAAATTTAAAAACTTGAAAATAATAATTCTTCGTTATTGTTACATTATAGGGAGGTTTTTGGAAGCTAAGTATGAACATTTGTATTGAACACCATGTGCTGCTCATTGTTTGGACTTGATGTTAGAAGACATTTTCAAGATACCTAGACTGAAAAAGACATTTGAAAGGGGTATTGCAGTACATGGCTACATTTATAATCGGCCTACGTTGCTAAACATGATGAGGCGCTATACAAATTTGAAAAATTTGATCAAGCCTGCAAAAACTAGATTTGCAACCGCCTTTTTGACTTTGTCTAGAATGCATCAACAAAAAAACAATTTGAGAAAGATGGTGATCTCCGAAGACTAGATCTCAAGCAAATGGGCAAAGGAGCCACAAGGTAAAAGAATGGCACAAACTTTGTTTATGCCTTCATTTTGGAATACTGTTGTGTTTACCCTTAAGGTCTTGGGTCCTCTTGTCAAAGTGCTTAGATTGGTTGATACCGAGAAAAAACCTTCCATGGGATACATTTATGAGGCAATGGATAGGGCAAAAGAATGCATTGCAAGTTCATTTGATCATAAAAAAGAGAAGTATAATGAAATCTTCAAAATCATCGACAAAAGATGGGATGTCCAATTGCATCGGCCTTTACATGCAGCTGCCCATTTTCTTAACCCAGAATTCTTTTACCCAAAAGCGTTAGAGTTGCAAAGAGATCATGAATTGATGAATAGGTTTTATGAATGCATGCAAAGGTTGGTCCTGGATGTCACTATTCAAGATTTGATCACTAATGAGATGAGTATTTATATGAAGGCTGAGAGTCTTTTTGGTAAGTCTGTTGCGATTAGGCAAAAAAATACAAGAGCACCAGGTAATATATTATAGACTCATAGAGTTTATTTTTAATAATACTTTTAGTAAAACTCAATACTTGGTAATAGTTATTTCTAACTAGTGGATTATCGCAGCTGATTGGTGGACATCATATGGTTCTTATACTTCAAACTTGCAAACTTTTACCATAAAAGTCCTTAGCCTAACATGTAGTTCATCGGGTTGTGAACGAAATTGGAGTGTATTCGAACATGTGAGTATTTAACATTCTAACTAATTTTTTGTTCAATTCAAATATTTTTTATTCTCATTATATAGAATTTAATATCTTTTTAATACTTGCAGCTTCATAGCAAGAAAAGAAATAAATTGGAACAATCAACGTCTCAATGATTTAGTGTATGTCAAATACAATAGAACATTGAGATTTAGGTATGACATGCGCAACACTCTTGATCCCATATCTTTGCAAAATATTGATGAAAGCAATGAGTAGTTGCTTGGGAGAATGGATGGAGAATCATATGAAGATAATGAGCCTGTGTTTGATGATGATTACTTCTTGACGTGGGCCACTGTTGCTAGAGCTTCTGGAGTAGAAGAAAGTAGCCATGCAAGTAGAGCAATAAGTTCATGCTCAAAGGCACAACCGAGGATAGCTAAATCATCAAGATTAACTCCACTTCAATTAATAGATGAAGAGGAAGCGGGCTCAGATGACACGGAGGAGGAAGATGTTGAGGGATACAAATCAGCTGATGGAGAAGAAGATGATAGTTTGCTTGCCATTGATGTTGAGGATGATGATTGACTGACCGACCTAACCTACCCTTTCTTTTGATGTTGATGTTTTTAAGTGTTAAGGCATATATTAGTATTTGTTGGATATTTATGTTTTGGATGTTTAGTGTTTATGTTTATGTTTTTAGATGTTTGAAATATTATGTAATATGCACTTTCATGGCTTTGAGAATTATTCTATATTTTGTCTTGAATCTTGATTACCTTTTATTTTTAAAAAAATTGTCTTAGTACTATGAATGATTAGTCTATGTTAATTTTTCTATTTTTTACTAAGACTGTGCACCTTACTTCAATAAAGCCCGCGCCTCGCCTTGCGCCTAGGCCCCGAGAGACCTTCAGCGCCTTAGTGCGCCTTGAGCCTTTAAAAACATTGGGCCAAGTATGCCAATGAGGTTATTCATCGTGCCGGTCTTACTGACACTAAGATTTCTGATACCCCCATTGAGCTTAATGTGAAAGCTCACCCCTACTGATGGTGTTCTTCTAGATGATCCTATTTTATTTCGAGAGCTTGTGGGTTGCTTAGTCCATTTGACGGTTACTCGCTCTGATCTTGTCTATGCTGTTCATGTGGTTAGTCAGTTCATTTCTACTCCTCATTCTACACATTGGGTTGTTTTGGTTCGGATTCTTCGTTATCTCCGGGATGCTATCTTTCAGCGTTTACTGTTGTTTTCTACTTCTTCTTTGGACTTGGTAGCTTATGCTGACTCTGATTGGGCTGGTGATATCAGTGATCGTAAGTCTACTTCTAGCTTCTGCATGTTTCTTGGTGATTCCTTGATTTCTTGGAAGAGCAAGAAATAGACTATTGTTGCGCGTTCTACTGCCGAGGCTGAGTACCGTGTTATGGTTCTTGCCATTGCTGAGATTGTTTGGCTTTATTGTCTCTTAACTGATTTAGGTGTCCCTTAGTCTTCTCCGACCTCTATTTACTGTGACAATCGCAGTGCTATTCAGATTGTCCATAACACTGTTTTTCATGAGCCGACGAAGCACATTGAGATTGATTGTCATTTTGTCCGTCAGCATCTGCAGTCTGCCTCCATCTCGCTTCTTTTCGTCTCTTCAGCATTGCAACTTGCTGATTTCTTTACGAAAACTCACACAGCTGCTCGATTTCAGTTTCTTTTTGGCAAACTTTCAGTGTTTTCTGTTAAAATACCTTAAATTTGAGCGGGGGTGTGAGAATATTAAGTAATTATGGTATTATGTATCAATTAGGTAGGTGATTATTGTGAATATTCGATTGATTGTATAGGGTTATTTCCTATTATAGATTAGGATTGCTATAAATTTTGGTTGTAATCTTTGTATTACACAAGTTGAATATACAGAAAACTATCTAGAAATCTTACAATGTTGAGAGTGTTACTTTCAATACTTGTGTCCCATTCTTCTGGCAGATTTCCAACAAAATGCAGCGGAATAAAAACGATTGAAATAAGAATTCAGGATAAGAATATAAGAACTAGATAGAAAACATTCAGACCTGAGATTCAAACTTCAAACTTCAAAGTGATTACAAACTTCAAACTCAAGTACCAAGTTTAGGTTGCACTTCAAAACATTCCAGATCAAGGTTGAATAATAGGACTTTAACTTCACCACGATAATCTGGGTCAATAACACCTGCCCCGACATGAATTCCATGTTGAAAAGCAAGACCTGATCGAGGAGCAATTCTTCCATAAAGTCCGAATGGAATTTCAAGTGCTATTCCAGTTGAGATAAGAGCTCTTCCTTGTGATTGAATAAGCATTCGTCGTGTTGAACTAAGATCATAGCCAACAGATCCGGTAGTCGCTCGTGAAGGAGTAACAACACTTGGATCTATTTTGACAAAATTCACAGCATCACAATCACGATAAAGAAGGGGTCCACCAGATCTTGTTGCCAGATGAACCAACGAGATCCATTACCCAGTGATAGAAGACCAGAATGCACTACTTGTAAAAGAAGTATGGTTGCTCAGTCTAAAGCCCTTGATAAGGATCTTCCAAGGTAAACACAGTTCTCATTTGTGAAATGATATTCTGTGTTCCTTCATTCCCTTCACCAATCGTAACCAGATTAGCGAATTCGTCTGTATACTTCATCCGCCATTGCGTCCACATGAGCTTCTCCGTTTCTCCAAGTAGGTTTTCTATGAACATGATTTTATCACGAACATCAGTGAAACCTTGCATTGAGACATGTGATTTTGTGATTGATTCCCACCTCATGAATACATCATCAAATTTTCCAAGGGGATGTGGGATAACAAACATTGCCCCGGTTTGATGCATAGCAGATGGTAAATTCCACCATTCATTCTTTGGGTCTCGTCGGAAATTGGGTCGTGATCCTTCTCCTGCATATGAGGGCCATGGTGGAATGTGAATATTCATTGGTGTGTTTCCTGTTGCAGGTGGATAACCTGGAGGACCCATCATTGAATCAGTTGGAGGGTTGTAGTTGGAGATTGCTGATGAAGAAGAAAGCACATATTGCGGGTTACCGTGCTTTGCAATAAGTGTTTCCAACTTCTTAATCTGAGGATACTCTGTCTCTCTTTCCTCCATCATGGCAATGATATTCAGGGTAGAATTCGAATCAGAATCCGAATCTATAGGCTTCGAAGCCATTCCTGAACTACCAAAACCTTTGTCTTGTCTATGGGAACTAGGCAACGTGTCTTGTTCCACCATTCTGGGAAGGGATACTCTTTCAAATATTATTTGTGCAATTTTCTGTCCTGGTTGCACTTCAAAACATTCCAGATCAAGGTTGAATAATAGGACTTTAACTTCACCACGATAATCTGGGTCAATAACACCTGCCCCGACATGAATTCCATGTTGAAAAGCAAGACCTGATCGAGGAGCAATTCTTCCATAAAGTCCGAATGGAATTTCAAGTGCTATTCCAGTTGAGATAAGAGCTCTTCCTTGTGATTGAATAAGCATTCGTCGTGTTGAACTAAGATCATAGCCAACAGATCCGGTAGTCGCTCGTGAAGGAGTAACAACACTTGGATCTATTTTGACAAAATTCACAGCATCACAATCACGATAAAGAAGGGGTCCACCAGATCTTGTTGCCAGATGAACCAACGAGATCCATTACCCAGTGATAGAAGACCAGAATGCACTACTTGTAAAAGAAGTATGGTTGCTCAGTCTAAAGCCCTTGATAAGGATCTTCCAAGGTAAACACAGTTCTCATTTGTGAAATGATATTCTGTGTTCCTTCATTCCCTTCACCAATCGTAACCAGATTAGCGAATTCGTCTGTATACTTCATCCGCCATTGCGTCCACATGAGCTTCTCCGTTTCTCCAAGTAGGTTTTCTATGAACATGATTTTATCACGAACATCAGTGAAACCTTGCATTGAGACATGTGATTTTGTGATTGATTCCCACCTCATGAATACATCATCAAATTTTCCAAGGGGATGTGGGATAAGGAGCAAGAAATTGCACCAGAAACTCAATTGCAACTATCAATGGCTGAGCGAGCAAATATAGCACTTAGCCTATTTATAGAGAATTGTAGAGGTAGGACGCAATAATGCCGAGTACACATTGGGCCTCATCGACACATTATTGGATGCTCCACTACACAAAAGATTCTCTCTTAACAGTGAGATTGTAGAGCATATTCTTCTTCTTCTCCTTTATTTCTCCTTGAGCGATTGTTTCTACAAAAGCATTGAGTAGTTTGATTTCCCCATGACCAATTGTAGAGCCCAAAAAATCCATTTGTACTGCAGCTATCTTCATTTTGGTTGGACTTAGAATAAGCCCATTCTTCTGGCAGATTTCCAACATGGACTGGATGTGCTTTGCATGAGACTTTTCATCTGGTGAGAAAACCCTTATTCTGCTCCATTGTGTACACTGTATATAGCCAATAACTTTCGTAATTTCTTTTTATCATAAATGTGTCCTTTGTCTGAATCGTGGATGTGTGCATGCATGAACAATTGTGAGATTTGATGGTAACATATGTTATCTGAATTATGGTCATGTTATTAGTAGTTCACTGCAATTATGCATTGCATATTCACTTTACAATATCAATTATGGTATTATGGGTGGATATCTTTGTCATATTAAAGAGTAGCAAGTTATGAAGTTTTGTCCTGCAATCTGCTCTCTTAAAAGCTTTTTGCAGCACATTTGTACATACTAGTTCATATATGTTATGATGTTTGTTATACATAATGTGAAAACTATTTTATTTCATATCTTTGTTGAAATTGGGACCTAAAAAACTTCCTCTTTTTTTTCCCAGATTCCAGAGGCCTCCAGGTCCAATACCATCTTCCATGCTAGGGTTAGAGGCACTGACCGGAGGTTTGGAAGACTTCGGTTTTGAAGATTACCTGAATGGTAATAAACAAATATGAATCAAGCTTTATTTTATAGTTCAGTAGTAAATTTCCATTTTGGAATTCACATGTTTCAACCATAGTGGTCCGATTCCTCTCCTTAGCTCTAACCTTTAACTACATCTCTCTGCTATGCTAATTAACTAATGTTCTAAGTTCAGTCATCCCTTACACGCTTCTGTTTTATCTTATGGTAATAAAAAATATCCTAGTTCTTGTCGGTTTTCTTCTCAAACTTAATTTGACACAAGTTTAACATATGAAGTAGCCAAATTAGACTGTCAGAATGTCCTGAATTTGATTTCACACCCATGCTAGGTTGTTGGTGAATCATATAGCCGTGTTGACAAGAAAACAATTGAAATATGTTTCTTACATCTTATTTGATGTTTGTTTTTTTTGGCAGACCCACGTGAGTCTGAAACATTCCGCCCCCTGGACATGCATCACGGAATGGAAGTTAATCTTGGACTCGCCAAGGGACCGGCCTGCCCCAGTTTCTTCTGAAGAATTATGTTGCGCTTGCCAAAGAAAATTTTAAGTTTTACTTTGTTTTGCTCTTTGTGGATACTATTTTTATTTCTTCAAACTTGCATGAAGTTCAAATATACATTTTAGACTGGCGAAAATGAACAGTGCATGTACTCTTTCTTCTCAGTTCTGAAGTATCCATCCTTTTGGTTGCAGTTGTTTATGTTTTAAAATTTTACAATTTCTTTGGTTATTTCTTTCAAAATGAAACAAGCCCTCGAGGAGTACAAAAATGAAACAAAATAAGAAGGCCAAATATATATATATATGTTTAATGATATTTTTTTTTTCCTTTTGATTTTTCAGTTATGTAGGGTTGAGTAGTATAGAAAATGCCATGATATGGGTTAATCATGCTGGCTCTCCACTCAACTAAAAGACCATTTTCACGGACTTTTCTTTGTCTTCTCATTTTCTTGAAATTTTTTATTATGCATAGCCTCTGCCCAAAACCCTTAAAACATAAAATAAAAAATAAAATAAAATAAAATCGCCAGTTTTTTTAATTGTTTTTATGTTATTTTTAAAATCAGCGTATTTTTCTAAATAAAAAAGGGTTAAAAATAAAATGAAGTGTGTTTGTGTTTGGCTGTGCAGCACCGAGTTCCCTGGTGGTCGTGTGGTTCACTTTCCGATTATCTAAAACCCTAGAAATCCAATCCAATATCATTTCCTCGTGTGTCCATGATATACAATTTTGGAACTGGTAAAGCGTTACAAAGGGTATTTAGTCTTTTTGCTTAAGCTGTAAATTGGCTTAATGATGTACTAGGCAAAACCACAGAAGGTTCAAATTTGATCAAAATCTTACTGGGGAAGTTTTGATTGAGCACTACAACATTTTTAGGGCATTTCAGGTTTGATACTGCAGCAACAAATCAGTATCGATATTCCCAAATTCTACAAAATCTTAAGCCATCAAATTCAAGTCCAACAACTTTTCATCAATTTAAGCCAACAAATGCTAACATATTATAAGAATCCAAATTTTCGTCAATTTCCTGTACTCACTTGGTAATCAAACTCTCAATCAAAGAAAAATTTATTGAGTTCTAGTTCAGTTACATCCAAATCTGTACAAGTACAAACCCTGTAAGCGTACAACTGAACAGGCCTCTTAGGCATACCAAATTTCAAACATATACAATTCATCCTTACTCTACTGATCTTCTGGGAACGTCACCTTTGCCATTCACAGGAGAAACAACCGCAAGAACAACAAAACCACCCAGAACAACAATCAAGACACCCAAAGAGTTCACTAGCAATGCCTCATTAGAATAGCGTGTTATAATCTGGTGAGTTTGAAGGAATGTGGCTTTTTCTAGGATGCCTGTAGTGCAGGTAGCAACAGCGAGGGCGTAAATGTAAACCCCAAAAAATACATGCCATGGTAACAAGGTAGCTCTGCTGTTTCTCGAACCACCTGGGTACCAAAAGATTGCAAATCCAGCAGCCCACTGTCCACAAGGAGTAATTGCAAAATTTTAATTTAAATTATGTGATTTTAAAAGCATACTTAGCTTCCAAAACAAAAAAATATGTGCGGGGGTGGCTAAGAGAAAGACCTGGAAGCCAAATAGAAGAAGACAAGCCAGGCCAAGCCATGAGTGCAGGCTGTAGAAATTGTCGATGCCCTTATCGTTGTGAAATTTCAAAGCAGCCCAAAAACCAATTATGCTCAAACAGAAAGCCAAAAATTGTAATGAAAGATGAACTAGTTTTTTGAGGCTCTTTGTTCCTGAGACAGTCTTGTAAGCCAGCATGGCTGCATGAATCCATACAAAGCAATTTAAATAGTTACTTATTTATTTATTATTATTATTACATTAGGGAGGCAGAAGATGACTTAAATGAAACCAAATGAAGGATAAATATTAGAAACATGTTGATAAAGTACAACACACTTTTATTACTTCTTTTCATGCATAAAAAATTCTCAGTTATCAGTTCAACACACTGAACAACACAACAGAACAAGTGTTGGGATTCTTTTATTTATATATACATTTTTTTGGCAAGCAATATTAGTTCATGAAAAAGAGGAGGGTGCAACTCCAATACACTTCGTGTATGCAACTAAAATCAAAGCTTGTTGTCACCATGATTAATATCTCCTATAAAGTTCAACAAAAGAAAAGGAAGATTCAGAACAATTGTTGTACTCTAACAGAAAAGCAATAAAGAAAGGTGCATAAAGCAAGGAAGGAGAAGTACAATCTCTTGTCAAACCTTTTAGCAAATGTGAACTTACTTCGTAAGTGTAAATATGTCCCTGCACATACTTGTTATCATTTGTTAAATGGCGAAAATCTATTTTACATTTTCAGTAAACAGAGTTAGGTGGTGTGGTTTCCTACAAACCAAATGAGAGTGTGAAGTACTTAAAGGGCAAACCCATTGAGTCAACTCAGGGGGCCAACTCACCGAGTCTCCACAAAACCCTCCACGAGAAACATCATTGCTAGGTCCTCTCTCGCATCTCCCTCACAGTAACACCACCCTCTCTGCCCCACTCTCTTTTATCCTCATCTCTCTCATCTGCCTCTTCACTCACTCTCTCACAGTCACAGAATTACCACTACTACCAGTAGCACCAGCACAGTCTCGAACTTCCTTGCTCAGTTTCGGTATTCCCGAGCCCCTAAGCCACACAGAGTCCCCCTCACTTGTATTCCATATCTCCCTACATCTCTACAAACATTCTCAATTTGGCTAATTTCTATAATTGTTACATGTTTTTTATTTGTAGGCAAACCCCAAAAATCCTGATCCTCATATAGTTAAAAAAAACACCCTACACTTGTTGGATTCCCTAGTGGGTTCGGGCCACAACCTAACCCAACTACATGTACAAACCCAAAACTCAAATCTATATCGGTTAAAATTTTCCAATCATTCCACCAAAGATTTTCGTACTAGTCCCCGCTGATAGCCATAACAAATGACATATACTGCCTCATGTACACCTGCCTATTTAATGTTCCTAATGTCAATCTTGCATAAAAACAAAATAAAATCACCCCTTGTAAAACTTCCTATATAACCACAAATGTATACAAATATCTAACAACTCAACCATAATGTTGTGTTTGGTTGGGGGATTTGAGGAGGGATTTGGAAAGAGAAATGAAAAAGTTAGGTGAAATGTGAATAAAATATATATATATTTCACATAGTTTCACACACCTTTTCCCTTTCCCTTTCTAAATCCCTCCCCAAATCCCTTAACCAAACACACCATAAAGCTGAATTGTAATAATAAAACTATGCATTTTGAAATCAAGCTCTGCAAACAATCAAATTATTTCCAATCAAAATGGTGTCAATAAATCAGAGACTGTTCAACAACTTTCCCAGTGAAATTGAGATAAATATAGAGCAAAGAAGCAATCTTTACCTTCACCGTTGAGAAGTACGAGACTAATCACCATCAATACAGGATGGACCTGTAAGAATAATACACAAAAAATAATAGGAGTAAGAAAAAAAGAATGCTCTGCCTAGCCTAAATACAAAGCTAATGCAATAGGGGAAGAAAATGAGAGAATAGGGAGATTTAGAGGTGGAGAAAGGGTAGAGAGAGAAATGACATTGAAGATGAGATCTTTGTTGTCGGAGATGAGAGCTAATCCTCCTCTGTAATGTAGAGTCCATGTAAGGACTAGAATTGTCACCAGCACTCCGATCATCCTCACCATAACAAAGATCGGGAATTGAACCACAGGAACCGCCATCATCAAACTCAACTCAACTCTACTCTGTACAAAACAAACAAAATATAATAATGTTTCTGAGAAATAGAGTTTTAGATAGAGAGAGATGTGTTCTTTCGAGATCTGCAACTCTGATGAACTGTTAGAAAATTTTTGAAGCAAATAAAAATAAAAAATCAGCACTAAAGTCCACGTTGGGTTGGGGGCAATGCCTAGGGGTAGAAACAACCCTATTATACTTCTTAATTTACCACGCTTAAATATTTTAAATGATATAATATTAATATTAGACTTTACATTATAAAATATTAAATAAATTAAAATTTTATATTTACCACATACATCTTTATGATGATTATTAAAAATAATAAATTAAACATCTCAAATAATTTTTTTAAGACAAAAAATATGAATAAATAAAATAATATATATATTTTTTATTTTTTCACAAATTTAAAATCTAAATACTACCTCAAATTGTTTGTTTTGTTCAAAACATTTTCCCAAAGTTTCTTTTGCATGAGTGTTTTTTTTTTTCCCTTTTATTTTGTTCTAATTTTATAATTGATGACGGTGGTGATTGTAGTAATTGTGGTATCAATGGTAATAAATGATAGTGGCAATGATAATAATGAATAATAATGTTGCGGTGGTGCTACACATATCACTTAATGTACATACTAATGTACCAACTAGTGTTATGTCATTGTTATTGATCTCTTACTATATAAATTAAAATATTCAAAACTTTTAAAATTATGCTACATCATCTATTAGTATACTAATTAGTACATTAATTAGTACATATAACATTATTCATAATATTGACAGTACTATTGGTTTAGAGCTATGATACTGGTCCGATTTAAAGACGACAACTATGATAGTGTATTAATCATGATAAGGTAACAGTGATGAGGATGGTAATAGCGTTAATAAGTAAAAAATCTAATAAGCCCATTCTAAGTTTATTATAAAAAATATATTTAGATTGTTTTCATTTTAATTGTGCCCATGTCAAAAATACATTAAAAAATTATAATCATTTTTGCTTAAAGAAATGGAGCATCAATCTATTCATAAATCAATCATACAATAGTAGAAAGCTTCTAAGTACATGTACTTGATTTCTCTTCATATCCACTCTCTCAAAGGTAAAAGGGCTTCGCAAAATGGTACAAAAATTTTATACACAGTGAAAAACAAAATTAAGAAATGCATTGCGTGAAAGTAGAATAAGTAGTCATATTGAATTACCAAAAGGACCTAGTGCATTTGATTGAAGAGTAAGACTATGAGAATATCATTGAACCCAAGCCAAGAATTTCATGTTTCTTATCAAGAGTGCTTTTTTTAAAGAATTCGTGTTAAAGCAATGGAACCACTTTTGCTTCCCTTTGGTACAATCTTTTCTTCCAATCGAATTCCCTTAATAGAATATAGGATGCCGACTAAAAAGAAGCAATCTCCTTCCATAGTTTGATAACACATTTTTATTTCTCTATAATATTTTACCATCAAAACAATTGACAGAATCTCTTTTATATCAGTCCATTGATATCTTCTTCTCATAAAAGCAAAACCACTTCGATTCTTGAATAATCCAAATCGCTTCTTCTTTAATGGTAGTTACCCATAAAGTATGTATAGTTAATGTAATGATATATCAAATGCTTTAGTTACTAATATTAAATTTTCAAATTGATTAGATTGAACTAATATTTAGTCCACAAGAAGAAAAAGAAAAAAAGAAAAGAAAAAAAAAACATATTCACATGGCTAAATTCAAAGGCCCCATTTAGTCCACGAGTTTGCTTATTATAGAGGATAAAAAGAAAAGAAACAACAAAAGAAATACCTTCTGCGTCTTGGAGTTTCACTTGTTTTTCTAGCAGAATTCCAAGGGACCAACCAGCAAAAAAAAAAAAAATAGCACACAAAAACTAAATTTAACCAACAGCACCTAAGTTCATCCCAATGTAAGATTTAAAAAAAAACCCTAGTGCCAAGTACTATCCGGCAATCGTGCTTAACATGCTGTGCCCTATGTCCCGTGTCCCCTACCCCTCCCGATATAGCCATAGCTCCTCGGGTAATAACCACCACGAGAATAGCCAGTGCGACCAAGTCCACGTCCACGGCCACCACCATGATGCCTTGTGAAATCACCAAATGTCTGCAAAAACCAAGATAACCATCATGATAACTTGTATGGTATGGGTAACCCAAAGATGGAAGAATAGAACAGCGTGGCCTATGACTAAGTTTTGCAACAACATGAACAACATTTTACTCTTAGGGGAGTTAGAAATCTTCTAAGACTGCTTGGAACTTGAATTTAGAAAGAGGTTTAGGGTGAAAAAAGAAAAAAGTGAGGGAAACATGAAATTTTTTTAGCTTATTTCATTCACAATTTCCTTCCCTTCTCTTTTCTCTCAATATATCTCTTCCCAAATCCAAAATCCAAACACAGCCTAAAAAACCAGCCAAATTCCCTCTCTTTTTTTGGGTACTAAAGACGGGAAGGGAAATCAAACCCATAACCTCCCAGTGACATGTATGGATTCTAGCCATTGGGATAGTAAGTGACTGTTAAATAAGGATTCAGAAATTATTCAAAAACAAAAATTTGTTCTGGCATTCAGAATTTATTGAGAAAACATAGGAACAGTACCTCAGCATCCATTTTCATCCGTTCAGAGAACTTGGTCCTCCCATTAAGTGAGCCACGATCAAGAGCATTACAAGATAGAGAATCGAAGAAGTCATCCTTAACATAAACAGGCTGTAAAGTCAAGAAAAAATTTGCTAAACACCATTAGTGAAAGAACAAAATATGAAAATTTTCTGTGTAGAATACATGTAAATATACATAAATACATCAAAGATATACATATATATATAACACATATATTTGATCTGGATTGAGCTAGGAAGGAAAGACATGGTAGCGTGCAAACTTAACTACAACTACGGCCCTAGATGAAGTGAAGCGAAACCAGGACTAGCTAAGCTTTGCTGAACAACCAAATATTTAACTATAGTAATAAAAAAGTACCTTAACCTCGAGTTTTGATGGTCCAGCATCATCTTCATCTTGTGAACCATTTCCATCTTCTTGAGTTTTGTTGCTTTTACCAAGATGATCCCATACTTCATCCTTGTTAAATTTTTCATTCATTGTTAAAAAATCAAAGTCTTCCGTGAATCTGGTCACGGAATGTAAATTCTGCAAAACCAAATAATGATAACATCAAAACAGTACCAAGGCTACAAATGCATAGCCTTACAAAGGCAAAGTAGGTGCTTGAGCAATAAATGAAAATTTAACCAAGCATTCCCACATGGAGTGACAGCTTAAATTTCACTAGCCACTTTGACAGGCAAACAAACAAAATCAATCCTTGACCTACTGGCTCTAAACCCTAAGACAAAACCATACAGACTTGGCCTGTGAAATTGGTCAAATTACACAAATCTAGCATTTAGACTAAAATGGAATGCTTTAGAACTCTACATTAGAACCAAGATAACGACGTTGTATTTGTTTTAGAGGGTTTTTCATAGGTTCATATTGTTGGGTAGTGTGGATCTTAATAAGTACTAAACACTAACCACTAACCACTCTGACCCCCGACCCAATTTTTGGCATAAAGGCATTTTTGATATTTCACAATTCTACGCTGTTGCCCTAATACTATGTGTTTATAGATTTAGTGCCACATCTCTCTATATTGTACTATAACTCTTTTTGGATCATAATGAAACCACAGCGACCGTGGACGTCCCCCTACAGAAATCTTTGTGTCCTTGTGTACTTGATTTTGATTCTTGTTTGAAACCTGTTTTTATTTCGTGTCTCACTGATTGTAGTTAGGTGTATCAATTCCTAATACTTATATTGGTAAATTTGTTTGATGAAGATGGATGTTTCTTGATTGCTTTTCCAAAGTCACCATATTCCCACCCGGTTCATATGGGGTTGGGGGAAACTCACCCCCTTCCTTCTAATTTAATAAACTTCATGCTTTCATTGAAAGCTTTATTAGATGCTAAGTCTCCAATCAAATCCCCTTCGGATTTTCTTAGCAGACAAAATAGAGAGAAAAAAAAAGAAAAAAAGAAAAAGTGGAGCAGTTCCATACGAGGTTTGACAATTACATATTTTACAAATACTTTTTGTCATGGGTAACATAGAAACAGAAGGCAGAAAAAATATACATATCTTCAAAATAAAAAGAAAAGTCAGGGTAAAATAACATTCAAGTGATCTGACTTACTGAGCATTGTGTAATCAGTAGAAACTCAACAATTCACCAACAGTTGGCTCATTTAAAGGTCTAAATTACAAGAATACTTTTTATGGTGCAGCACAAGTAATATGACCATGCAAAGGTAAAAAATATTATTACCCCATTTGCTCTTACTCTTTCATGCCCTCCTCTATTATAGTGGCGAATGTGCGAAGGAGCTCCACTTAACTGGAAGAGGGACAAAAGCAACAACAACAACAACAAAATCCAAAAAAACAAAAAGATATATTAGAATATTAAACATAAATTAAACCCACTTTTGAGTTACAAATTGCTCAAAAATCTCAATAATCAATTAAAGCAATTAATTCTGAGTTGGAATAATTCCATGAACACTTAGATCTATTGAAATCTTGTATTAATTATATAATGATGCAAAGATCTGAAACAAGACATGAATAAGTTGGGTGAATTTACTCTATAATCAATTCGACTCACAAGTATCTCGTTACTTAGATCATATATCAAACGGATGTTTCTGTATATAAATCAGACATTAAAGATATTCATAGACTTATTTCATAATTTGTATGAGCTCAATAATGTTTCTGATCCTAGACTAAATGAAAGCAATTCTTTCAAAATACAACTCCGATCTTGTGCAACATATATTATAATTTATAACCATCGATCATGACAGACTCCACAGGAAAAAAACTTAGGAAGTGTATTTGACATAAGACCCACCAAAAAAACAATACGGCAATTAATATATATCAGTCATTAGAGTCTTGTTAGGTGTCCTCATTAAGAATAGTGCTACAGTTATTTAGGATGTAAAGAACAGAATTTGGGTCTTATTCCATGACTATGTCAACCTAGGTCAATCTTAGAAGGTTATTGTGTGATTATTGAACTAGGGCCTACAATTAGGTATCTTGAAAGGAAAAAAGAAGAAGAAGTAGAAGAAAAGATATCAATAGAATGATTATGTGGAAGCTCTAAGCTCTCTCTCTCTCTCACATGCGCATACACACCACCTTACTTCTTTTTGTTACTTCAACCTCTCTTGTGAGTGAGAAGCTCAGAAGCCATTTTTGCACCCTCTCCCCTCTCGTCTTCTGCACTCTCCTCTTATAGTTTTTTCTTCTCTAATCTCATATCTTTCATTCTCTCTTTCAATTCTTGATTCTTTCTCTTCTTCTGTATCTTCTTACTCTCTTCTCTCTACTCGTCTCTTCTAGTCCTATTCTCTTTTGCTTATCGTGTTAATTGAAGAACACTAGCCAAGGTTACATCAACATCTAAACCACTATTACACTTCTAGCCACAAAACAAATTTACACTTCACAAAACCCGACACATAAATAAATGAATAAATAAATAAAAAGAAATAAAGAAAATTAAATTCAAAAACAAAAAGGGGGAGAGGGGAAAAAAGACATGAAATGAAAACAAAGGCACAAGATAATTTAAACAAACAAGAATATCATTTCACACACACCAACCATTGCTTGGAAAGCACAGGATCTGACCTCACATAGTAGTCATCAATGCTCAGAACATAAATCAGTTATGGAAGCTTTGCATAGTCAAATCAAATACATCATCAATACCTTGCAGCAGGGTGGTGAAGGCAGAGGCAAAATTGGTGCCTGAGCTTCCACCAATGTCAGAACAGGTAGTTCTGATGATGATACCTGAACCACCTCAACATCCTGAGCTGTCTGTAGAGACTGGGATGAAGGAGCTGAGGTAAGCCCAGGCTGCAAAAGTTGACCTGGTGTTACCAAAGAAGGCATCGATCCCTCATTCAAGAAAGAATTGGATATCCCAGTAAGAGAAGGCTCAGGTTCAGAGGCACCATTATATGGCATTGCTGAACCAGGAACAACTGTAGTCTTGTTAGGAACAGTAGTCAATGGAAATACCAATGGCAGACTAGTGCTGAAAGCAAAGTGAGGAGTCGTATTAGACATTAAAGTTGTTGATGAACCTGAAGCTACAGTAGAAAACTGCCCAGGAAGCAAAGGTGAATGCAAATTGAAGGTGCCATTATCAAGAGGAGGCAGCACGGGAGGAGGTGGGAATTCTGAAAACTGCAAAGCCAGCAAATTAGAACCCCCGGCTGGTAAAGATGCATTCATGGGAGGATATTGCATGGATTGTGTTATTGACAAGCCAGACAGGGGTTGAATCAAAGATTGTTGTTGGGCTTGAAGCCCATCCGAGACCCCATAGAGTCCCTGCCAATACATCGGTGTAGTAAACCCACTGCCATTAGCAGGTGGAGGAGGAAGCAAGGAACCCCATGACCCTGAACTCACATTGGGTGGATATGAGGGAAAACTGCCTTGGAATGTCGAGTTGGGAAGTACCAGCTGTGAAGCATGGGAACTAAGATCTTGTAAAGATCCAGCACTAGCCGTAGGCAAGTGTGTAGATGTTGCTGCTTGAGAATAGTGCGACTGCATAAGAAAAATATCATATTAAAGTGTGAAATAAGGAGAAAATAAACACAAACCTTACATTAGGTGGTGTTTAGAATCTAATCCATTAATAGAATTCTTTTTGCTTTGTTGAAAAAATAAGTAAAATCAAATCAAACTTAAATTCAAGTGCATTATAAGGATTTGATAAAATCTTTTTCCATCAAAGATCGGATAACAACCAATTACATGACATCTTCCCCTGTACTCATATCAGATAAATTCTTATTGGATATAACTTGGTATGTCAAGGTGATTCATAATAGGCATTTTATGCAACAGCGTTCAGTTTCTTTACCTGGATAATAGCAGGATCATTGTACATAGGTCCTGTTGTCTGAACAGGCGGGGAAGATTTGACCTGTAAATCCTGGAAAAAAAAAAAAAAAAAAGAAAGAAAGAAAGAAAGAAAGAAAGAAAGAAGAAAGGATGGCCATAAGACAATTGTTCAAGAATCTCAGTCAAATCTGATCACAAAAATGATGTCCAAAGAAAGACAATGTTAACATGATTTTTCATTCACAAAGTGTTCTTTACACTGTCTATACACCAGCAGCTCTTAATATCAAGTGGGTATGGAATGTTAAAACTTCAATCTACAAAGTATTCGTGCAAATGTATTATGTACCCAATATTTGCCACTGCAGCAGGAACCCAACCCAGAAACCTGTCTAATATGGCTCTGCCCCCTCCTCCTACTAACACTTTCAGTGTGACTTGCTACCAGGTTGTAAACCTCTTGGGTACAAGTGGATTTTCAAAAAGAAAATGAAAGCGGATGGATCAATTGACAAATACAAGGCAAGACTTGTGGTCAAAGGATTTAGACAAAAAGAAGGTCTAGACTATTTTGACACATACTCACCGGTTACTAGAATAACATCCATTAGAATGCTAATTGCCATTGCATCTCTCTATAATCTAGAAATTCATCAAATGGATGTTAAAACTGCTTTCTTAAATGGTGAGTTAAATGAAGAAATTTACATAGAACAACCATAAGGGTTTTCTGTTCCAGGGAAAGAAAAGAAAGTGTGTAAATTGGTTAAATCATTATATGGTTTAAAACAAGCGCCAAAGCAATGGCATGAGAAATTTGACAAGGCAATGATGTCAAATGGATTTAAAATTAATGAGAGTGACAAATGTGTTTATATTAAAAATACAGATAAAGGTTATGTCTTTGTATATCTTTATGTAGATGATATGCTCATCAATGGTAGTAATAATGACATGATTAAAACTACCAAGAAAATGTTGAATAAACATTTTGACATGAAGGACATGGGCATTGCTGATGTAATACTTGGTATGAAAATTACCAAAACATCAGAATGATATACTTTGTGTAACGCCCTCAAAAATATACCCATTATATATCATTGACATACATTGTTTAAAGAGAACACTTTAATAATTCCTTATAATGTCCATCAGAGTCTTACAAATAATAAAAGCATTACATGCAACATCAAAGTAAATGCCCTACCGGCTTACATCTTTCCAAGCCAACACTTGGACACAAAGTATGAGTTCTAACTCAAATAAAAATAAAGCCCTAGGCTTGAGTGTTTACATGTATTAACAATGAAAAACAAATAACTAAAAGTAGTCTTCCAAAATCCAAGTCCTTCCAAGCTAAGTCCTTGGAGGTAGCTTATCACCTGAACCTGAAAATGATGTTCCCATAAAGGGTGAGCCACAGCCCAGTAGAAATATACTAAACCAAATATAAGCATTGAATAAAGCTATAGCATTCAATAGATGGTTAACCAGGATAATCAAATACTTCATTTTACAGTCTCATGACACTATTGTCTATCAAGACAATCATCTTTTAACTTTATCAATATGGCTCAGAACCTGGCCAAACTTACAACAAACAACTACATATCATATTCACATTACTTCCAATATCGACTGGGACGATGAAGCCCCCTGATTGGCCCTCGAGGCCTGACCCGACTGAGCTGGCTGTTGACCCTGAATCTGCCTCAAACCAGATGCACCAGATGTGCCACCCAACTGCGGGCAATACCTCTTCATATGCCCTGGCTGACCACACTGATAACACGAGAGTGGCTGGCCTCTACCCTGACTCTGGCTCTGAGATCGAGCCGAAGATTTAGGAAATCACTTAAGAACCTAAAATTTGGAATTTAGAATTTAATTAAATTTCTCACAATTACAACTTAGGAAACCACTTAAGAACCCAAATTTGATTAAATTAAATTAAATTCCCACAATAATTTTTTATTTGAAAAATTCAAAAGAATTTTTTTAATCTAAAAAATTAATTGTTAAATTCGAAAACGACGGTATCAACTTCCATTCAAGCCAAAATGGTTTTTACGTTCGTCTTCACCCGTGTGACTGCCACAGCCTGGGCAAGGAACACATCATCTTCTTCGGGACTCACCCAAAAGACGTTGGGGCCCACTAATTTGATCTAAAAAATATGCCTTATATTAACCATTTTTCCTACAATCCTTACATGAATGGATATTGACGGAGAGAAATGCAACAACATTGATTAATTACAGAGAGTACAGAAATAGAAATATTCTTGCAAAGGATAGGTATAGCTTTTGGCTTTTGAAACCTTCCCTTGTGAGACACTATCGGAATTTACTAACTAACCAGTGAACAGATGTCTTGAACTGTTCAGCTGTTTTTGTAACCAAGACAATAGAAACTCACCATAGTATATTCCCAGACACAATTTAGTTTTCTCACTATTGTGGTTCATTTTGCCCTGAACAACCTGGTCTTTCATGAGTGCTCCAGAAAGATTGTAGCCCTTCACAATTCTCATAAAACCGCCCAGTTCACACTCACATAGGTGATTCTTATGAAGAGTATCCTGCCATACTCCTTAGGTTTACCTTAGATATAAGAATCATTTAAATTTTACTTAACCTTTTAACGCTGGCAGACTTCACTATTTCATCAAAGAAATGGGTAGTAGTTAAATTCCCCAGTGAATCCTTCTGAGTTATTTCACAACTCGGTTTGTTCCCTTATGACCTAGATCTTGCGGATCTCCAGTCAACTAGGTTGGTTGCCGTTATGGTAACTCTATTTAATAGGCTTAAGTCCCATTCCTCTCGATGAATTCTCAACTTAACCTCTCTGCTACCCTTGGTTAGTGGAAATCTGCTTTTGTTGTCTTTAGACTTCACATAATCAATGAGAAATAATTTCCATGAGTTAGTTGTCTTATGGTATTATGTCTACGACGATGGCGTGACTTACCGTTATCATTTATGACTCTGGCCTTTACCATTGCTGTTTGACTATTCACAATGTATGCATATATCAGGCACCGATTTTGCCTATTGGGATATCTTCAAAGGAAGTGGCGAAAGCCATTCTGCTTCTTCCCCAGCTTTGTCTAAAGCTAGATTCTGATTCCATAGTGGACCTAGCAATACAAGTCTGTTGGAAGATTTCCAAGATACAACCGCCCCACAAAGAGAAAGACAACCCATTTAGTGAACTTTTGAGGTCTCTGTATCCGATATCCAATTTGCATCCAGTATCCTTCAAGTTATCTGGATATCTAGTATTAATTCCAGCCCAATGTTATGAGTGATCGGAGTATTTAGAACCCTTTAATTGCTTTTCCAGTGTTCTACTCTTGGATTACTCGTTATATCTACTTAATTTACTTCTGGATAAGCTATATCTGGGCGAGTGCAGTTCATGAAGTACATTAAACTTCCTATAATTTTGGGCATACTTCTAATTGAGAATACTTTCCTGTACCATTTCTTGAAAGATACAAATTAACATCTACAGGAGTTTAGCAAGATGATCATATCTTTGTTGAATTTGTCAGTATTTTCTCAATTGTAATGGTTGTGCAAAGCATATCCTCTGATGTTTTGGTTAATTTTCATTACCAAGTATTACTATCAGCAATTGCCCATGGTCCTTTCATTTGTCAAAATGTTGTTTCAACATTTTCTCTTGAATATCATGTCATTATTACTACCAATGACGAGCATATTCTCTACATAAAGATATACAATGACATAACCTATATCTGTGTTTTAATATAAAACACATTTGTTTCACAACTCATTTAAATTTTAAAATTCATTTGACATCATTTGCCTTGTCAAATTTTCTCATGCCATTGCTTTGGCGCCTTGTTTTTAAACCATAATTGATTTAACCATTACACACATTTCTTTTCTTTTCCCTGGACAGAACCGTTCTGGTTGTTCTATTGTAAATTTCTTCATTTAATCACCATTTAAGAAAGTGGTTTTACCATCCATTTGATGATTTCTAGATCTATTTAGAGATTGCAATTGGCAATTAGCATTCTAATGGATGTTATTCCCTAGTAACCGGTGAGTATGTGTCAAAATAGTCTAGACCTTCTTTTTTGGTAATAAATTCCTTTGACCACAAGTCTTGCCTTGTATTTGTCAAATTGACCATCCGCTTTTCATTTTCCTTTGAAATCCATGTACCCAAAAGAGTTTACACCTGGTGGCAAGTCACACTGAAAGGTAGTAGGAGGAGTGGGCGAGCCATATTAGGGACAGGGTTTCTGGGTTGGGTTCTTGCTGCAGTGGCAAATATGGTACATAATACATTTGCACGAATACTTTGTAGATTGAATTTTAACATTCATACCCAATTGATATAAGGGTGCTGCGTGTATGACAGAAGAGAAAGATTACATGTATGATTCTAAAGCCAATTGGGATAGTAAGTGACTGTTAAATAAGAGATTCAGAAATTAAATTCTAAAAACAAAATTTTGTTTCTGGCATTCTAGATTTATTGAGAACAACATAGGACACAGTAGCCTCAGCATCCATTTTCATCATCCGTTCAGAGAAACTTGGTCCTCCCATTAAGTGAGCCACGATCAAGAGCATTAAGATAGAAGAAAATCGAAGAAGTCATCCTTAAACATAAAGCAGGCTGTAAAGTGCAAGAATAAATTTGCTAAACACCAATTAGTTGGGAAAGAACAAATATGAAAATTTTTCCTGTGTAGAATACATGTAAATATACATAATACATCAAAAGATATTACATATATATAATAACACATATATTTGATCTGGGATTGGCTAGGAAGGAAAGACATGGTAGCGTGCAAACTTAAATACAACTACGGCCCTAGATGAAGTGAAAGCGAAACAGGATAGCTAAGCTTTGCCCTGAAACAAACCAAATATTTAACTATAGTTAATAAAAAAGTACCTTAACCTCGAGTTTGAATGGTCCATGCAATCATCTTCAACTTGTGAAACCATTTCCATCTTCTTGAGTTTTGTTGCCTTTAACCAAGATGATCCCATACTTGCATTCCTTGTTAAATTTTTCAATTTCATGTGTTAAAAA